CCCACCAACTCTTTCCCTGCCTGCCCATTGCCACTGGCAGGGTAGCACTGAGGTCTTTTCATCCCATTGTTCCCCAGGTTCTTTACTTGCTTTTTCTCACTCAGAAGGATGGAGGATTAGGGTCCACAATCCACTGGCAGTCTGTGAGAGCAGCATCTGTACAGGGCTTTGGTTTTCTGGTGGCAGTTTGCTAATAAGCAGCAGTACATCACCCTGATGGGGTGAGACCTTCCCTCCCCACCCCCAATCCCTTCCCTAAGGCTTCAACCTATTGGCTTTTCCAGTGTCTCCAGTAACATCCATTTCCTCTCCCTGGGGGGGACAGTCTCCCTGGGCTTGCCTGAGGTCATTCTCTCCATCCCCTGCTTAGACCTTGGGGTTCAATGGCTCAGCTGGAATGGGAGATCTGGTTCGCTCCCTACCTCTGCTACTGCTTCTCTGGAAGTCCTTGGGGAAGTTATTTCATCTCTCGGGGCCTTGGTTCCCTCTGTGTGTGATGGGGATACCATGGCTTTTGTCTACGTCAGGAGTGCTCAACCTCTGGCCCAAGGGCCAGAGGCAGCCCGCAGCCCTGTGTCATCTGACCAGTGGGACTCCCCACAGGTCTGGAAATTTGGCAGTGGGGGAGCAGTGCTGCTGCTCCCCCACTGCCAAATCTCTGGACCTGTGGGGAACACCAGGCTCTGCATGCTGGATCCAGTGCCCAAACCTGGTGCAGGGGCATGGGAGAGGCTGGTGTTCAGCCCCTGGGACCCAAACCTGGCAGGATGGGGCAGTGCCAAGCCACAAGGCTGGATTTGGCCCACAGACAGCCCCTGTGCCACACCTGGCTCGTGGGACGAAAACACTGAGAACCGCTGGTCTGTGGATTGTAAGCCCCTTTTGGGCACTGGCTGCCTCACTGGTTGTACAGCACCTTGCATAACTAGGCCACAGCACCTCTGCACCCCAGGTGCAAATGAGTAGTCAAATGACAGCCACTCCTCAACCTGATCCCTGTTGTTCTTCTGCAGCTGGGATCCAATGTACCCTGGGGAGTCTTACTGACTGCCCGCCCCAAGCTGTGCCATGGACTCCATGTTCGAGGATGACATCAGCATCCTCACCCAGGAGGCGCTGTGCCAAGATGAGGAGTGGCTGGACAGCCCCAACACAGACCTTTCCAGTGAGATGTGCTCTGCCTCACATTTCGCCCTCATCACAGCCTACGACGACATCAAAAACCGCCTGACCAGCCTGGAGAGGGAGAACTCCACCCTGAAGAGGAGGCTGAAGATGTACGAGATCAAGGTGAGATGCATGCAAGAGGTCAGTCCCTCCCACTCTCTCTCCAATCCCTGCCTAGTCATAGTCAAGGTGGGCAGACCAGCACAAGGGAGGTTGAAGCCCAAGGACTTGTGCCAAAGTCTGGGGTGGGTGGCAATAGCAGCAAGGCCACAGATGGATGGTGGTGGTGGGTGGGTGGTGGTATGTGACTAGGGGGTCATTGCAGCAACAGAGGGGACAGCTCCAGGATGGATCCCAGGAGCATACATCTGAGGTTGTGTGTTTTCCAACCTCATGCACCCAGCTCTGTATTCCTGTAGCACAGCTCTGTGGTGCAGCTGGAAGCATGTGCACCCAGTTGTGTGCAGCTTTGGGCTTGCAGCCACTGTCACACACCCTGGACTGCGTAATTCCCTGTGTGTTTAGCATGATGATGGTCCCTGGGGCCATGCCGAGTCTTGTGCTGAACCAGGTGGTGCTCATGGGTGTCCACTTTCCCCCCCACCCTTCCCACCCCCTCCATGGCTACAGTACCCAGTGATTGGTGAGTTCGGGGAGGAGCACATCTTCTCGGTCTATGACATGAAGGAAAGCTCCCTGCTGAAGAGCGAGAAGGCCAGCCTCCAACAGCAACTAAACCAATTCCAGCATGAGGTGTGTGGCTTTGATGGCTCAGGGAGCCCTGGGGGTGATGCATAGAGCCTTGCTGCTTCTTTGCTGAGGCTCTTGGTTCCTATCTGCAGGGACCAGCGCAGCAGTAGGGTCTGGGATAGGAAAGTACCTGAACTTCTCACTGCAAGCATGTGTGTGTGAGGAAGGAAGTCTATGGGCTTGTTTAGGGAGATCTGCAGGCCCCTAACATGGGGCATTTTCAGGCCGGGGCGAGGTCAGCTCTGGTGCCCTGTCCAAATTTCAGCCCAGGTCATTATACTTTGCTGTTTTCAAATCCACCCCACTTCCCAAAGCTATCTAAACCAGGCATGGTGTTTTCTACCTCTTCCAAAACATTGTTGCATGAAGTTTAGTAGCTGTCCTGCTGCTTTCCAGAGGTTGCTGCATTTGGGAAGTGGCCTCTGCATTCTTACAGCTTATAATGGCACTATGGGTAAAAACTGGAGTTCACTTCTTATCTGCCACTGTGAGTGCATCCGCCTCTCTGGCTGAAGCAGCAGTGTCTTCCCCTGGTACTAAAGTACCTGAGGACTCCACTGGAGATAGGAGCTTTCTGCTGGCTCAGATCTTGTTCTTTAGTCCTCAGTGCATGTTACTGGTTGCTATCAGTCACTCCCCTGCAGTCCTACCAGCATTGAGGAGGTCTTGCTGCCCTCTGATCCTTGCATCCACCTCCAGACAGCTCCTCTTTCCTGCCTTCCAGCTGCAGAAGAGCAAAGAGAGGGAGGAGCAGCTGGATGAAATGATCCAGGCCTATGAGAAGCTATGTGTGGAGAAGACCGACCTGGAGTCAGAGCTGGGGGAGATGGTAGGTCCCAGGGAGAACTCTGACTTGGGTGTGTTTGCCTTTGGTTGCGTGTTTGTACCTGCACATGCATCTTGTGTGTGTTCTCACATCTGGGGTACATAACAATTGGAGTATAAGTATGCTAGAGGAATCCAGATGCTGGGGGAGGTAGTGTCTCCCAGCTGGCTTCATGGTTAGTGTTTCTGCTTAGGAATTGTGGGTTAATCAGCTTAGGAGTCATGAGTTAAAGTCTCAGCTCTGCCACAGGCTCCTTTGCACATTCTTGATCAAGTCTCTTTGCCTCTGGACTTCAGCTCCCCATCTGCCAAGCATTGTGGGTGCTTCAGAGGGCTGCTCTGTGGATAAAGACATTCCTGGCCCTGAGGTGCTCAGATGCCTTCCAGAGTGGGGGCCAGATGAACACATAAGATAGCCTGCTGGCTTCTTCCCATGGCTCCTGGGGGGTCTTGCTAGTGGTTAGAGCCAGGGGTTGGGAGTCAGAGCTCCTGGGTTCTTAGCCCCAGCATTGATGTTGGGCAGATCACTTTGCTTCCCCAGGAGTCTGTGAAATGGGGGTAAGGATTCTGAGATCAGCTGTATTACACTGGTGGAGCCAAGCTCAGTTGAGTTCTTTGAGCTCCCTGGCTGGAGAGTCTGAGGAGAGTGCTGAGCACCCTAAAGTATCATCATTGCAGTGGTGCTGGCATCCCTGCATTGGACAGTAGAATGTGGTGCCTTTGCTTGCACAGCACCTGGATCTGTGTTTACTGCAGTGCTGTTTTGCCTGTGACATTAATAAATGCCCTGTCACAGATCCGTTGGTGGAGAAGTGCTGTTGTCCCCACCAGGCCTCACACACACAGCAGAATTTATGTTGTCAGCTGCAGCCCAGCTCTTCATTGGGTCTCATGTTGCATGGAACTGAAAGCCCCCCAACCCTGGCCACTGGCTCCTCCTGCTGCCCAAATTGCAGTGACTTCCATAGCTGGTCTGTCCCATCAGTTCTCTTCCTATCCTAAGGAGGCGGAAAGCCTTGTGGCTGAGTCACTTGGCTGACAGTGAATGGATCTGGGATGAATTTTGGGCCCTGTGACAAGTCACTTAAATTATCTGCGTCACCAGGGCCTGTCTGCTTGACAGTCAGAGTGATGGTAGTATGGCCAGATTGGTTTTCATCCAGTTAGCTGGGCACCTAGGGCAGTGAGGCTAGGACTCTTGGTACCTTGGTGCGGGTGAAACCCTGCTGTCAGTACCCAAGCTGGATGGGTTACTGCAAGCACAGGGATGTTCGTGCCTACTGCAGCCAAGCCTCTTATTCCAGTAAAGACCTATGCACAGAGTGTATAGAGCAGGAAGCCTCAGGAACCTCTTCTGTATGTGGTTTGTGGGCTGCTTGGAACCATCTTTTGCTTTGGGGATGGGCTGCACCTAGTGCAATGGAGCCACCATCTTAGTTATTGCTGATTGCTCACCATCTTGGTTATATGCCATTCCATAGCCAAGTTTTGCTTGCCTGAAGGTCTTCAGTGAGGGAAATCAAAGTGGGCTTGCTCACAAGACTTGCAGTACCCTTCCCCATGAGTGCCCCCAGAGTTATGTTCATCACATTGATGTGGTTCTGTGGGTCACTCCTGTCCAACTGGGGACTAGCAATGATACCACCTGACTGGCTACCACTAAGACACATCCCAGACAGGAACTGAAATGGGATGGAATTTGCAAAAATCCTCCACCTTCCTGCAGCATCCATCCTCCTGTCCTGAAGGGTTTTGAGAGCTGAATCAATGGAGGGTGTTTCATCCTGTGAAGCGAATGAGAGCAGTGCGTGTGGAGCCCACGCTTGGTAGTGAGCTGCTGGCTGTGCTCTAGTTATCATCCTGTTATGAATCCTTTGCTCTGCTCCACTTATTATGCTGTAACTGAGGACCTGGGCACAGCCAGGCATGATTCCCATAGGAATACACTCCACAGGGAGCCAGTGTTTTGCTTCCTGCCCTGAAAGGGGATGGGATTCAGGCATTAATGGGAGAGAGGGTGTTGGTGGAGGGATTTTGCTGGCTAGGGTTCTCATAAAGCAGATCCCACATTCAGCTGTTGTGATGTCAGTGGTGCAGTGACTGCAGATGTTGCCAGGTGGGTGCCTGTTGGGGCACAAAGTGTCAGTGGAGCTATGTGGATTTACCCCAGCTGGGATTTGGCCCTGGGTGAAAGGAGCTGGAGTGACAAGACTGGAGGTGGAGTCCTCTATCAACTTCCAGGGCCTAGAGGAGGCTTCTCATGCTGCTCCCTAGCAATGGGACTCAGTCTTGCCTCAGATGGAGCCTTTCTGGAGGGGGGAGAAATGGAAGTTCAGTCTTCAGGCCCCTTGGCCTCTGGGCAGAGACTGCTACCACAGGGGTAATACAAGTTGCCTGGCTTTAGACTTGTCTGTGTCCATTGTGTACAGATTCTGGGTCAGATTTTCAAAGGTACCCAAGAGGGTTAAGCTCCCAGTTCCCTCTGTGCCTTGGAAAATCTCCCCTCAGAAATGGACTTGGTCTATCCAATAAATCTCACAGGTGTTTGTATACTTTGGTAAGGGAGGGAGCTCCCCTTCTACTTCACGTTGCTCGACACAGGAAGAGTTGCAAGTATCTACCTTGTGCTTTTAGCTCTAGATGCCCCCCAGTTCACTCTCTGGAGTGCTAGTCAAGATGGCAGCCATGCCTTCTGCACTGGAGCTCTTGTATCTCTGTTTGGAGTCTGCAGCTCCAGGCACCTCACTTGGGCAAAATCCAAGAGAACCGGGTGTATGTGCAAATGTTGAATGCATTCGTCAGGATTCCCCTCCTCTGGCACCTGAATGAGGCTACATGTGTAGAGTGGGAGGTGTGCCCAGCAGGGAGGTCTTCCTTCACCCTGTCTTTCTCCACTTCCCATTCCCCAGAGAGCCTTGGTGGAAACGCACGTGAATCGCATCCGGAACCTGGAGCAGCAGCTGAGGCAGCGAGATGGCAGCTCCTTCCAGAACCTTAACTCCCAGCTGCAGAACCAGGAGGTCCAGTACTTGTCACTCCATGGCAGCCCTGCCTTGACGCATGGTGAGTCTTGCACATCTGCCCCAGGAAAGGCTCTGGTCTTCTTAGTGGGACTCAGTGCAGTGCCAGCCACTTTGTAGGAGCCTGAGAACTTGTGGTCTCATTAGCTAGGGTCCCCAGCTCCTTTTAAGCTACCTTTCTGCCTCTGGTATTCTGGGACAGCCAACAGCTTGCTCAATCTGTGCTGTTTAGAGCAGCCTAATGGCTTCTCTAACTTACACTCTGCTTTGCATGAACTCATACAAGCCCTGGGAAGTAGGGGATGGCTGGAGTACACTATGTTGCAGCCAGGTCCATGTTCTTGGCTCTTTTCCCCCTGCACCAGTCCTAACACCCCCCCGATTCCAGAGCTACAAATAAGGGAGCTGTAATGGCCTCACACCCAGGGAAGTTTCTTAGATCTGTTTCTGGTCCCTTTATGCTGCCAGAGAAGTATGAGAGGGACCTGAGCATGACTGGGACTATTCAAGGGAGTACCTGTCACTGTCCTAAGGATCCCAAAGTGCCTTGCGAAAGAGCCTGGACATTATTATCTCTTCTTCCCACACGTGGAGGGACCCAGGCCCAGAGTATGCAACTTCTCCAAAGGTGGCAAGATAGGGGCAGAGTTCTGGCAGCAACCCAGGAGTCCAGGCTGCTAATCCCTTTGCTTCAAGCACTGCCCTACACTACTGCAAGGGGTCATTGCGCTTCCCCTAGCAAGCAAAAGTCAGCTGTCACCTATTGTGTTTCCTGCCAGGCCAAGTAGGCTCCTGGTAGCATGGGGCTACTGGAGGCTAGGATTGGCTGTGCAGTGAGCAGAGCGGGGTCTGAGTCAGAAGATATGGTTGCTAGCTTAGTGCAAGGCCTTGGACACATCATGTCTCCATAGCCTCCCAAAGGCTCAGTTTGCCCAGTTGTAAGTGGTAGGGAATAGAGTTTGCCCTGGAAGTGGTTTGAGACCTTTGTATCAGAGAGGCTTCAGCTTTGGCCCCACTGCCACCCAATTGGAGCAGTTCTGGGTAGTACTACCAGGCTATGGAGTAGACTCCAGTCACCAGCTGTCTGACAGAGAGGGACTAGTTCAAACCATTCCTATGCTGGAGGGCTGCCAGCTCCAGCCAGAGCCTCCTGTACAATGCAGACTGTGGGGTTACTTTCTGTAGTTCCAGCCTGACAGCTGCAGGGTGGTGGGGGTGTCAGCATTTCTCTTGCAGTTGATTTCATCCCACTGAAAATAGCACCCAGGACAGCATGGGGTCTGCTCCCCAAAGGAATTGGAGCTGGGAGGCAGAAGTGGCCTCATCCCATGTCTCAGGATGTAATGCTTTCCAGCCAGCAGAGGGTGCCACAGCCCCTCTGTTTGTGGGTTCCACCCTCTGTTTCTCAAGGCTGCCACAAACTCTTTTCAGACCCCTCCCCACCTGCCCCACAGCCAGAAACACTGATTCTGTTGTGATAGCTCCGGGGAATGAGATTGCCTAGGCACTGGCATCTGAGTGTGATCCCTTCTGGGTCACAGCACCACATGTGGAGTCTGGTGGACCTGGTCCCTCCCCCAGCCTGTCTAAGTGCTGGCTGAGAGCAGACACATGCACAGCACATTTAGTGCCAGGTCAGCGCTCTAGAGAGCAGGAGCTGACGAGAGCTGGATCCTGGGCACGGGGAGCAGTCTGGGTGGAGGCAGGGCTGGAGCTGGCAGAGCCAGGCAGTATCTTGGGGCTCTGCTGGGGGGGTGTGGCGGGGTGTCCACAGTCCACGGCCTGTAATTGGAGATCACCTCACTGAGACTGCATGCCTAGGAAGGCACTTGGAGGGAGCAGGCGCTGAGTCAGACCTGCTGAGTCGCAGTTCCTGCTTCCCGGCTGACTTTCTGCCTGCTGGGAGGGGGTGAGGAAAGTAATTGCCTTTGCACTCTCATTAGCATCTGGATCTCCAAGCAGGGGAACCAGGTTTTGCTCCAGGAGCTGGTTACCATTTCCCCCACCCAGTAGTGTCACAGGCAGGGAGAGGCTGAGACACCACCCAGGGGTTCTGTCACAAGGCAAGGGCAGAACCAAACATAGGGCTTGATAGCAGGTCTAGGCTGGGGTTCCTGTCTCCCTTCATACTACTGCAGAAGTGGGCCACAAAGCAAAGCTGCTGCCTGTTAGCTGACTCCGGGTTTTGGTACTGCTGGCTTTGCTACTGAGGACTGTGGGGGGGTCACTGGTGCAAAAGATGCCTATGCCCACTTCAGTGAATACTCCTGCAGTAGGAAACAGGTTGCTTTGCTTTCAGATTTACCTCCACCCACAGCAGCCTCTTGCCCCACCTTCCCCTTTTCCCAACCAACCACCAGCCACCACTTTGGTCCTTTAGCAGAGGAGGCTTCCAGCCTGAGCTATGGTGTAATAGTGATGCTGTCCTCGCTGCAGCAGCTTGATGCTCAGTGGTGTGAGCTGCTGCGGCAGACGCCTGCCTTCTGGCATAGTTAAAGAAAGGGCTAACTGAACACCAAGGATGAGGCTGCCATCTTGAGGGCGTGAGGAATGCAGCCAGATCCTCAGCGGGTGCTAATGAGCATGGCTGCATTGACTTGAGTAGAGTTACGTTGATGTAAGCTAGCTGGGGATCTGGCCCCTGGGTCTATCAAGCCAGTGCTGTGAGAGGCAGGTGGCAGTCTGGACACCAGTTCTTGGAGCAGAACTGTGCTACTCAAGGCCCTGTGGATCACTGATGTGTGTGTGTGTGTGTGTGTATGCACTTGTGCGTATGTGTGTATGCACATGTGTGGATGCATGCACGAATGTGTATGTGCACACCTCCCTGGCTGCTGAGCAAATTATTACTCTTGTAGCCAGAGCTGGGGCTTGGCACTTGGTCTTTGCTGTGCATTGCAGTGTCCACGTATGGTCATGGCCAGCCCTGCTCAAATCTGAGGGTTCTGGTATTGGCTCATGAATTGGCTGTGAGCTCCTTTCCCTGGGGCCCAGAGATCCTCTCCTGGAACTGCTTCTGACAGCATGGTGTGTTGGCAATGGCCAGTGAACACCAGCCAGTGCCGGGGGGGGGTGGGCCTGCCCCCTCCCTCCAGTGCTGCCCCACTGCTGCACTGTCCCCCTCCCTCCTTCTCAGTGCTAGACCGCTCGATGAGCTGGCAGAGCCCCCGGAGCCTGGAGCAGCCCAGCGAGCTGGAGGTGCGGAGGCTGGAGGCCCAGCTGGAGGAGGCCAGGCAGGAAGCCCAGCACTCACAGCACCGGGAGGAGCAGCTGAAGGGCGAGTGTGAGCAGCTGCAGGCTGAACTCAAGCAGCTGCAGGAGACTCGGGCACAGGTGAGCGAGGTGGCAGAGCACCACGGTGTGGTTTATCGTGTGGGAAGGGGGCCCTCACCTGTTCTGGGGTTATGTGGAAAAAGGTCAGCTGTGGATATGTCAGGAGACCATCACAGGATGTCTGCACACTGCCTTTTCCTCCATCCCTGCCCACCCAGCTTGCTTGGCCTGTCTGGCTACTTGGCCTGCCCAGTACCAGATTCTACCATGTCTCACACTGGCTAAATCTGGAGCATCCTCAGTGACCCTCATGGTGGTGCAGAGCAGTAGTGTAACTAGAGTGGGGCAACTGGGGTAGCCATCATTGCCCCCATGTGTCCCGCTGCCCTGGGCGCCTGGTTGCTTTGTTACTCCTCTGGTTCAGTCATTGTATGCAGCTGGCAGTGAGAGCCACTACCTCTAAATTGGAACCCAAAGCCCCAAGTACCTGGAATTGTTAGTGCTGCTCGTTCCCTCCTAGAAGGAGTCCTGCTTGGAGGAGGGACCTTGTTTGTCCCTGGCGGGGATAATGGGGTTGGGAGGACCCTTCTGGGGGTCATTTTGCTGCAGGAGAGAGGAATGGGGCAGGTGGAACCTGTTGTCCATGGCTACAGCACAGAGGTGAGCCTGGCACTGCCCTGTGGGCTTCATCCATAGTGCCAGCTGCCTTTGACCTGGGACTCAATGCCCCTGGCACAACCCTGGCTACAGATCCAGTGATGGGGGTCATCACATGTGTAGTAAGAGTCTGTGTCACCTGGTTGACTTGCTCTAGGGCTGTCCCTGCCTCGCAAAGCCAGGGGAGAGATGGGACAGCCAGCTTCTGGGAGTCACTGGTGTTAATGGGAATCCTAGAGACTGGAGTGAGAGGAACTGGAAGGCAGGCGAGACTGGTATAAGGTGAGGGGACACAGCAGACCTTAAGAAGGGGTGTCTGGTGTTCCCTAGGACCTGGCAACCAGTCAGTCTGAGCGGGACATGGCCTGGGTGAAGAAAGTCGGCGATGATCAGTAAGTGCCCTGTCGTGCAGACATACGTGCCCCCCTGTGAGCTGGGGGAGGGGGAGAATTCCTGCCCTCCTCTGCTTCCATGCATCAAACACAGTGGCCGCATCAGCAGGACAAATGGCCTGGGCAGAGGCAGGCCCTAGGTGCCCCTTTCTGGTGGCCCAGCAGCCTTGGCCTGGCACAACCTTTGGAGGGTGAGAGGGGGCAGTGAAAGGGGCCCTCCCCTTGCTGTCAACCAGCTCAGTCAGCATTGACCATGCTGGAGAGCCAGGGGCTTCAGGGTCATGCCCTGAGTCTTGGTTTTCCTCAGAAAGTGGCCATTAATCAGTTGGAAACTCTGTGGCAAGCCTGCCCTGGAGTTCAGTGCAGGAGTGATGCTTGATTTCCATGCCCTGCCTCACCCAGGGTCTCCATCCTTTCTGGAGGGGGTGGGCAAGGGGGGCCATTGTGGAATGCCCGAGAAGCAGATGACTTGTCTCTGGGGTGCGATGGGGGCAGGCAGGCACCTTGCAATCAGCAAGAGCTGTAGAGGCAGGGCTGCCCAGAGAGCCAGGTCCTCTCTGGCACCTCAGGGCAGGCTCCTGGCAAAAACCAGGTGCTGCAGACTGTTGAGGATGTGGCTAGGCATAACAAGTCTTTAGCAGGACCAAGAAAGGATCCTGGGCATCCTGGCTTGTAGGTTCCCCTGCTGTAGTCATTGTTTTCTTAAGTGTTAATTGGCACATGGTTGATATCCCCCACAGCCCCAGTGCTGGCCCACCCAGGAAGGGAAGATGCCCAGCTGCATTAAGTGCCCTTCTCCTGCAGACTCACAGTAACATGAAAGCCCCTGCTGGCAAAACAAATAGATGCTGATACGGGTCCTCCACTGCTGAGCTCTCGCTGGAGAGCTCAGGTCTCAGGGATGTGTCTGAGGAGGAGACACAGGCCATTAGTCCCAGCATCTCCCGCTGAGTGGAAGCTCCTGGGGTCCTAGAGCTTCTTTGCCTCTTCCACACGGGCCTGAACTGTTTCACTTGCATGCAGGGTGCTACATGGGTTAGCACTGCAGCTGCTAGGCCGGCACTGGGGATGCAGCTCTGCCTGAGTGGGATGGGTGGTGCAGGAGGCCTGCAGAGGACAGTGGGGGATGCAGCATAGGGGTGCAAGATCTTTGGAAGGGGGGAGGTCTCTGAGGGGCACAGGAGTGTCTCGGGTGTTCCTAAGCAGCCCCTCACTGCCCTGGTTGTCATGGGGGTTCTTTCTCCACTGAGCAGTGGTGGAGGGCTGAAGGGGAGCCAGCTAGAGCCACCTGAGTCACCTTTGCCCAATGTTTAGGCCCAATGTGGGGACCAGAAGCTCTCCTGGAGGCCACAAGGGGGTTGACCCAGCAGAGAAGGGATCCTGTAGGATGTGCTGCATTGGCATACTGTCTCATTTCCCCCACCCCTGTCAAGTCTGCACTGCCCATGGTCTGGGCATCACAGGTTATAATGAGACCTGGGATGATGGGGTATTACAGATGTAATAACAGGACCCAGGCTGGGTGTGGTGGTTTCTAATGGGACCCAGGCCAGGCACTCCAGGTATTATAACAGGAGCTGAGAAAATATAGTGAGGTAGATAGATACTCCAGAAACACTTTGATCTGCAATGGCTGGAAGTGGATTGGTGTCTTTCAGGGAAAAGAGTGTATGTGTGAGGTGATCTCAGTCCAGTATCTAGGTGTGGGGCACTAAGAGAAGCTACAGCTTCTTTCTGTCTCCACTGTCATGGTATATGCTGCATGTAGGAGCCTCATCCTGTGTATTGGCAAAGCCAAGCCTCTGTACCTCTGCCCTCTCCAGCCCCAGTAGATCTGTGCCACCTTTTGATGCCAGGGGACCTAATTCCTAGCCCTACTGCACCAGCTCCCTGGCTCCAACAGGGCTGCCCCGATCTACCTATGCAAGAGGAGAATCCAGCTTTTCATGCCCATCGTGAGTGAGGTGTGTGGCAGCCTCTGGTTTCCCACGTGACCTCTTTCCACTGTGCAAGACTCAGCGCAGCCCTTCCATCAGTGCAGTCTCCTTGGGAGGGACACAGTGGTAATTAAGCTACAGCAGCGTTGTTCCCCATCCCTGGAAAATAGCCCACTCCCGCCTGCTGGCAGTAACCTCTGGGTTTCCACCGCCTCCCCCCTCCCCTCCTCCTGATTATTACCAGCTTGGTAAACACT